CTGAGGGCGGCCGGGAGAGAAATTGCCTGGGTCTGGGTCCTGGTCGGAACACTCACTAGCTCTGCGATCTCGGGTACCCCTCCGAGCCTCTCGGTGCCTAGGATGCCGATCTGGGGACGGTGACAAGACCTGTGGCTGCACGGTGGCCGTTGGGAGCTGCAATGGGCTCGTATGTAGAGTGCGTAGGATCCGGCCTGGCGCCCGGCACGCGCTCTGTAATTCTGAGCTATTGTCATTTGTAGCTTTGCTCATGGGTGGGTCTCCGCCTTCCTATAAAATAAGGGCTGGACTCGGGGATGTCCAAACTTCCTCCTAGCCCTAACCTTCATGACGCGGAACAAGCATGTACTGAGCACCGGCCATGTGCCCGGCCCGGACCTGCGCTGGATTCACATACGAGGAAGGGCCCGGACTTAGCTCTCCAGGAGGTCCCCGGGGTGGGACTCAGGACTGAGCGTGAGAGTCATGGAGGGGAACTATGGGAGCAACTGGCCGAGGGGTCCCCATGGCTCAGGTGGCTCTAACTAGGAAGGTGTGATCTAGAAACAGGAGAGGGCACCCAACACAGCACGAGGCCTAGAGTCCCCACCTCCTGCCCCAGTGGATGGCAGGCGGGTGTTCCCAGGCACAGGTGCCCACTATCTGTGCAAACAGAAAGGACCTCATGGCTGCTCCGAGGGCGCCCGCTGCTCCTCACTGCCGCCAACAGGCCAAGCCAGGGCCGCGTAACTGCTGGACAAACCCTTCAAACACAAAATGAAAACCACCTGCCCTCTCTATTATAAAGAATTGCATCAGGTTACTATGGTAACTGGGTTCACTCTGGGCAGGAACCGAAGCAAGGAGTCACCGATGCCTTGGAGTCCCTGATGGAGAATGAGACTGTAAGCCATCAAGTTAAAGGGAGGATGCGTCATCACTGCCCGACCTGACCGGAAGGTTCTGGATCAGGGTGGTGTAGCCACGGCCCCTCAGGCTCGTGCTTTGGTTTCGGTTTCCTGGTGCAATGCGGGCGGGGCAACGTGCAGAGTGGGGTTAGAGGCTGGTGAGCTGGACTGAGGGCTCACACTTCCAGATCAGCCGTGTGACCTTGGGTGGGGCACGGGGCTCCTCTGAGCCTGTTTCCACATCTCCATCACGGGACTATTGACCTTGGCCCTGCTCACTCATGGGATTAGCAGTAGGACCCAATATCCCAGATTACAAGGGGGAATGTGCTTTCCCAAAGACGCTGAAAAGGAGAGGGATTATTAAGCCGCTGCCCTGGGGACAATTCATAAACAGTGTGTGGAGGGGTGTTTCGGGCGGGGTTGGGGGTGTGAATGGCAGGTAGCCAGTGTGTGTTGCAGATTAAGAGCCTCTGCTCGGTGGGGCTCCTGTGCAGGGATCTGTGGGTGTGCAGGGTGGGCAGGATGTGCCAGAAGATTCTATTGCTGTCCCATAGGAGACCACCCTGTGCCTGTTTCCACTTGGCCCTCGGAAGCCCAGCTCTCTAAGCAGATCAGATGACAGACACCCCGCCCTGCTGTGTCCGCACTCCGCATCCTGCTCCTTCCTTATGAATCACAAATCTCAGCTGTGACTGTACTCCTGTTTACTCGGTTTTCCTCTGTCTCTCCCCCTAGAGCAGGGGCTCTCGACCTGGCTGCACACGAGAATCACTTGGCGAATGTGTTTAAAATACCTCTGCCTGGGCCGCCCAGACCAGGCAAGTCTGGATCTCGGCATCAGGCCCTGGCCTTGGGGTTTTTCTTAAAGCTCCCCAGCTGGTTCTGAAGTGTGACCTGGATGGGGACTCACCAGTCACAGCTGAACTTGCAAAAGGACAGGGACTGTGTGTTCCTTGTTCCCCTGTGGTATCGCCAGTGCCCAGCCCAGATCTTAATACACAGGAGGTGTTCAATGAATGCTTGTCTAGTGAATGAATAACTACCTCTTACTGTGTGTCTCCAGATGTCTACACTCCCTCTCTCGGGCTCCGTTTCCTCCTCTAAGGAATGAGGGATGGATCTGAGGAGGTGTCTTCTGCTCTAAGGTGCCTATTTTTTTTTTTAATCCTCACCTGAGGATATGCTTATTGATTTTAGAAAGAGGGGAGGGGGGAGAAGACAGAGAGAAAGAGAAAGAGAGAGAGAAACATTGATGTTAGATACACACCCAATTGGAGATTAAACCCAAAACCTAGGTATGTGTCCTGACCGGGAATCGAACCGGCAACCTTTGGGTATACAGGATGACACTCCCACCAACTGAGCTGCACGGGCCAGGCCACAATTCTGTATCTTAGGCAGCCCGTCTGGCTTGGTGCCTCCCACATGAATGTTCTCGGGGTATGTGCACTCTACGGAGACAGGACCCACGCCTGGCTCGTCTCACCTCCCTCCAATGCCCGAGCCTGTGCCCGGCCCGTAGTGGGCAGTGAATAGAGTTCTAGTGAATAAAGTAGGGAATATGACTGCGTCATATAAAGAAAGCTCATCCCTAAGCCTATGACCAGTGAAGTCCCTGACGACTCAGCTTACGCCATGGGAAGGACATCTTCCTATTCCCAAAGAGGGGTCCCATCGGGAATCAGCTGTCCCGCCTCCGCCTTAGGAAGCTCTGGAGTCCATCTAGAGCCAGGATCTCCAGTAGCGCTGCACCGAGGAGTGAGGGGCGCTGTGCAAGCAGCTCCAAGAAAGGGCTGCCCCCTACATTTGGTCTCAGCCACCCTCCCAGCCCTGGTTCTACAGCAGCCGACTGTTTGCCCTGATGAATTTTGGACGAGAGCCAAGGTGAGGTGGACAGGATGTGGCATGTCCGGGCTGTCACGAAGCAGAAGCCCCAGAGGCCTGGGCCTGGCAGACAAGGTTCCTCCGGACCTGGCCTGTGTGCTGGCTTCCCTGGGTGGGGACGGAAAGCTGCATTCTGCAGGTTTCTGAGCCTTCCTGCCTCCTGAGCCTAAAGCAGTGATTTCCCACAGGCGGGTAAGGTCAGCCTGAAGATGCTTCGGTGCCAGGGCTTGTGGTCTCCTGCAAGCCCCACACTTTCCCCAGAGAGTGCCCTACACAGAGCTGGCGCCAGGCCTCATCCTCCTCCCCCTCAGCTGAGAGCTGGTAGGGTTTCAGTCCACGAGCGGGAAGGAGATTGTATGTGATAGAGCAATTCCAAACTTGCCTCCAAGGAGCTTATAATTAGGAAGGAGAACCAACTCAATTCAGTTCAACTCCACTCAACAAAGACAATTAATAAGAGCCAACTAGCCCTTGAAATTTGCTAAGAGAGTACGTCTTGTGTTCTCACACACAGCAGAGGTCATGATGTGAAGCGATGGGTGTGCTCATGAACTTGATTGTGGTGACCAAGCACTTCACAAGGTATATGTATGTGAAATTATCACATCGCACACCTTAAATACATACAGTGTTACTTGTCAATTAGGCCTCAATAAGAAAGCAGCAAGTAGGTGAGGACCCTGTGGTGATATCAATATGAATCAGACCCGTCTCCCACGAATCAGCTCATAATCTCAGGTAGCTCCACTTAGGCCCATCAGACACACCTGGTGGGTGCGGTGGCTCATCCGAGTGGCCACAGCGTCCTCCCATCGGTCTGCTGGCTTCTTCACATGTGACTTTGCCTCTCCTGGCAAGACGTACAGTGTATTGGATCTGAACTTGGCCGCGTGCCTTGCTCTGGCCAATGGGACATCAGAACATGTGATGCAGCAGAGGTCTGAAAAGTGCCTCTGCAGTGGAGCTCACTGTAGACACGTGGCCCAGTTTCCAGCCAAGCCTGCAAGTGAGGCCGCCTTCCGCCAGCTGCACGGCAGACGCGCACCTCATGTGAGAACCACGGAACCGACTCACATTGTGAGCTCAATGACTATTGTTTTAAGCCATTAACTCTCAGGGTACTTTGTCATGTAACAAAATGAATGCATAACAACACCGAAAAGTTGCTGGTTTGATTCCTGGTTAGTGTACACATCTGGATTTTGGGTCTGATTCCCAGTCTAAGAGTGTCTCAAGTCTCTCTCTCTCTCTCTCGCTCTCTCCTCTCTCAGCATGTTCTCAAGTGAGGATTAAAAAAACAGCAACAAACAAAACACTAATGCATACCAAAACCAGCTCATGCACTTTCTTAGCACGGGTATTAGAAGAGTTGGGTGATTGGACCAACATTTCCCTTTTAGCTTCTCGTGCCTTAGCCTCTAGGACAGTGGTTCTCAACCTTCCTAATGCCGCGACCCTTTAGTACAGTTCTTCATGTTGTGGTGACCCCCAGCCATGAAATTATTTTTGTTGC